GAAGAGGAGCATCACTGGTAATAGAGGACAGCATCTCACCTGTCTGGGGGTTCACCGTCCCCAGAGGTCCCTGCGGTGCTGGCAGAGGGGTGGAAGGAAGCAAACATCCGGATGGGGCTGCTGGGGTCAGAGGGGGGAAAGTCAGGACCTGAAGCAGGGTAACAGGACCTTCTCCCTCTAGGAAGTACAGAGCTCAAACATTACCCCCAAGGGACTCCCTTCCCCTGAATACTGGCTACCAGACACTAGCTCTAGAAGTTGGTCTAGGACAAGAAGTGGGTAGCCAAGGGGGAGACGGAAAAGAATTCTGGGTGAGAAAGTCCAGAAGATATGAATAAATGGGAGTGTATTTTTGGGGGGAAGGGGCAGAGGAGCACTGACCTGGGCAGGCAGCGGGCATCTGTGGGCCGGAAGTTGTAGCCGCTGCTGCCCTGGTAACTCTGGTTAGGGCTGGGGGGTGGCGGAGACACTGAGGCCTAGAAGAGGGGGCAAAGGACTGAGAGATAATTCTTGACTCCTTCCCACACCCCACCATTTGCTCCATAGGGTTCCCCCTTCCCCTGTACCTGCAGTGCCCTCTGCAGATGAGCCCGCTCCCTCTGCTCCCGGGGCTCGGGCTGATTGCGCACTGCTGAGGGTGGCCCCAGCTCCTCCACTTTCCCCTTCTGCCTCCTCCTCAGGGGCTCTGGCTCCGGCCTCCGGCGCTTCCCCAGGGGACGTGAGACCCCTCCCCCAGGGCCCTGCCCTGAAGGGAAGCTGTAAGAGGCCTCCTTATCCCCCCAGCCCCCTCCCGGACACCCCAAAGACCTCCCCATCTCTATACATAAATTCCCCAGACTAACACCCTGAGAATTTCCCCCATCCCCCCTGGACCAGTGACCTGGTGAATACTCCATCTCCAGTAGGGGGCTCCACAGGGGGAGGCATCCGAGCATGAAGACCAAACAAACATTTCCTCTTCTTAATCTCTCTCCCTGAAATGAAACTGGGGCAAGAAGATAAATGATACAGTCATTGCTGTAAAAAAGGTCCCCCCTTACACCATTCCTAAATCCTTTTCAGTCACAGTCTTCCAGATGGGTTACAAACGGCTCCCATTCCAGGCTTCCAATCTCCATCTCTTTCCAAGCCTCACCCTTGCCTCCTCTTCCCTCCAACTCACCGGTCCTTGTGGCTGTTGAGAGCAGAGAGGAGCTTGGAAGAACGTTCTCCTTTGGGGGTATCTGAAAGCTGGGAGAAGGAAAGAAAATGGGGCCAGGGGAGCAGTGATTTCTTCTCTTCCCCTTTCCAATACATCTTCCTGTCCCATCCCAACTCCCAAAAGTCACTACCCCTTACCTCCCCCAGGAGCAAACTGTCCCAATTTTCAGAAGTGAAGGGGAGGATCTCACGGTCAAAATCAAAGTATTTCTTCTTACAGCAAACGCTGAGGTGATAAAGGACAAGATGGGCCACATCCACCCTGGAGAAAGAGTTTTCAAGACCACAGAGGCATTTTAAGAGCCAGAGGAGTCCTGAGGTGGGAGGTTGGGGCATACAGAGTGAAATGCTGGGGGTGCAGAGTTACACTGAGGTCATGACCAATCCAGCTCACCAGCGAAGCTGTAGTCTCCGGACTTTCTCAGGGCCCCCGCGACACACACAGCATTCAAATTCATAGAACCTGGACGTGGACAAGAGGGAGAACACACACCTTACACAGAAAAACTATGCCGTCTCCTGGAGGACTCACAAGCAAGGATGGGGTGAACAGGTGAGGTAACCCTGCAGAGGTTGGGAAGAGATTGGAGTGGAGAAGGGCGTGGGGGAACTGAGGGTGGAGCACAAAGACAGAGCATCATTGGCTCCTGGAGAGTCTCACCTGTCCCCATAGAGGAGGGGCTTGCTCAGACACTGGGTGCAGGCCTCATGGAACCACTGCAGGCAGCTCCGGCACTGCAGCATTTTCAGGTTCCACCTAAGGGGAAACAGAGGACTTCTGGCCTCTCGACTCACTGCAACCATCCCTATATCTGTCCCAAACCTGCTTATCACTTACTTCACAACCCCCTGAGTGCTACCCTCACTGTTCTTTCTCCTTCATTTCCTGGGGTCCACCCCGCCATCATTCATTGCACAGTCTGCTCCCCCTCATTACTCACTCCCCAGGGCCACCACAGTAACAGTAGCTCTGCTGTCGATTGCTCAGATGTCCAGCATCCCAGTCCAGCCCCTTCAGTCCATATGGCAGAGAGAGCTTCATACCCAGCATGGCCCGGGCATAGGGGCCCTTCTTCAGGGCACCGCCCCTCTGCAGAGATAGAACAGGTGGGTGGCCTCAGCGGGGTGGGGAGAGGAAAGGCTTGTGAAAGGCTGTGGATGGGAGGCTCCCACAGGAAGGGGTAACAGGGAGGTGCCTTTACCTTGGTGGCGATTGCAAAGACACATTGGCGGCACACCCAGGATGTGCCCTCTCCTTCTCCAGGGGCTGGAGCCCTGGGAACATGGCAGTCCTGGTGATAAGCTGAAGAATGATAATAATAGACCACTTATTGCATACCTGTGTGTGCTGGGTATTGGGACTGGAATAGTCTTTACTCATCTCATTTAATCCTTGACCATGGTCTTGATGAGGGAGTGCATTTTCCTTATTTTACAAGTCAAGGAACTGAGGCTCCCAGAGATTTAGGGACTTGCTCAAGGTCATACGGTTAGGAAAGGATGCATTTAAATCATCCTCTACCTGCAAAGGTTACACCAACCCTTTCTATGGCTGCTTTTCCCTGGGCTTACAGGGGATGAGGACTAAGGGCTAAGCAGCCTGGCCAGAACAGTGGCTTGGGGACTAAGGCCAGGACAGGTGACATAGGGACTGTGCTGGAGGGAAGAGCAAGCTGGACCATTCAGGTGACCTGCCCTCTTACCATGGCGACACTTCTCACAGCTGACCAGCCGGTTCCCAGGGACCACAGTCTCAGAGCGACAGACACAACAGAGGAGTTCCTCCCCAGGGAGGGCAGCTATGAGAGAACACAGTGTCAGGGGCCTGCCCTTAAGTCTCTTTCTTCTCCTATAAGCCAGGTTTGTTTTCCATGGGATGTGCAATCTCAGGTCTCTAGAGTCTTACCAGGGCTAATGTCTTTCCATAGAACCAGAAACTGTGAATCATCCTCAAACTGGACCAGACACACCTCCCTAGCACTGTCCACCTGCAATGGGTGAGCATAGAGAATGAAATGGGAACCAGACTTAGATAAGGGGAATAGGAAGAAGGTCAGAGGTAGAAGGTCTTACCTTTTTGATGGTGCCCAAGTATAGCAGCCCATCAGTCCATCTGGCCAGCACATCTTGACCCTCCCAAAGTCGAGGTCTGGGGCCAGAGGTGGGAGCAGGGGAAGCTGGGTCCCAAAGTGAGGAGGCACCAGAACGGCTCAGCCGGGGGGGCTGCGCCATTGCATCCTGGGGGGGGCTAGCCGGAAAAGAAATGGGGAAGAGGTTATGAATGCTGAGAAAACTTCCCCATTTTCTTTTTTTTTTTTTTTTTTTTCCCTGAGATGGAGTCTTGCTCTGTCACCAGGCGTGCAGTGGTGTGAAATGGAGTCTTGCTCTGTCGCCCAGGAGTGCAATGGTGTGATCTCTACTCACTGCAACCTCTACCTCAGTTCAAGCAATTCTCCTGCCTCAGACTCCCAAGCAGGTGGGATTACAAGTGCACACTACCACACCCGGCTAATTTTTGTATTTTTAGTAGACATGGGGTTTCACCACATTGGCCAGGCTGGTCTCGAATTCCTGACCTTGTGATCCACCCACCTCGGCCTTCCGAAGTGCTGGGATTAAAGGCATGAGCCACCGCGCCCAGCCAGCTTCCCCATTTTATTTGCCTATTTTGCCGTCAAAAATGAAGGATCTGTGCCCCCAACTCCCAATCCTGACACACCTGGATAGGAAAACACTGGGCACCCATCACCAGCTTCTTGAGTACTCTTCCAACTCTAGTGACTGGCTCTACTCTCGGTAACTGCCCTCCCCCCGACCCAAACCTAGTTCTCTAGTTTCACAGCTTCCAGAGCTCTCCTGGGATATTATATCCTGGCCTTTAAATTTTAGGGGAAATTACGTTTGCAGAAGCAAAGGCTACCCCTCAGTTTAGAGGTACCATAATTAGGGTGCCCTGTTGCCCAGAAATGTATTTTGGGACCTTTTCTAGAGATGTTTTCCAGGGCAGAAACGGCTGTCTCCCCAGGCCTGCGTGTCTCATTAAGAACAATCATCCTGGTGCCAGGTTATGTCAGGTCACCCTCAAATTCGGGGCTCCCTGCCCTCGGGTTAGACAACTTCTCTGAGTGCCCCGGGAGGGGGGCGTGTCCGAGTCCCGGTCTCTACTCCCCAGGACTGCAAGTCCGAGAAGGGACTTGCGTCGGCCCAACCAGGACCCCGCGGCCAGGACGACGAGGCTCTCCCGCCCGCGCCCCGCGCCGACCCCCGGCTCCCTGCCCCCCACCGGCGCCTCCTTACCGGTGACAGCTGGGGCCGCCGGGAGCTGGGCAGGGGCAGACGTAGTAGACCTAGGCGAGTCCCCCGCGCGGAGAGGGCACGTCCGGGCGTCGGGGGGCGTGCAGGCGGAGGCCGGGGGGTCCCCAGGCCCAGCCCCTCCGTCCCGGCGGCTCTGGGGCGTATGACGCAGCAGCCAAAGCAGCGGCAGCGGCAGGAGGAGGAGGCGGCGGGGGGGAAGGAGGGGAGGGACGGACCGGTTGGGGGGGAGGGTGGTGGGAGGGGAGGACTGGGGGGAAGGAGGAGCCGGAGGGGGGCCGGGCACCACCTCACCCCACCTCCCTCACCTCCAACAGGCCTGGAGGGCGCCGAGCAAGAGGCTGGCCCTCCGCGGTTTGGGGAGCGAAGAGTCGGACCCAGTGGGAGAGGGAATCCCCTCAGCCCCTTCCTCAGACCTGAGATTCGCCCTTGGGGCAGGAGGGAATCCCCCCTCGCGGCAGCCCGCCTCCGGACTGGTCCCCCGCCCCATGCCACATCCGTTAGCTGCCCCACCCCCCATGGTCACGCCGAGTCCCGCCCCCCGCCCCCAGTTCGCGGCCCCGCCCTCCATTCACCCTTCCCGTTGCCCCCACCACGCCCTCCCTCGCGCGCCCCGCCCTCCACTCGCTGTTAGCCCCAGCCCCGCCCTCCCCGTGGCTAGTCGCGCCCCACCCGCCGCCCTTTTGCGCACGCGTGTCCCCTCCTGCGCGCGGCACCTGGGAGGACTGAGCCCCTCCTTCACGGGCGGCGGCCGTCGACCGTTGGCGCGAGGAAGTCGGCGGTCGTGCGCGCCGCTTCCCGGGCACGTCCCGCCCCGTACTTCCAGGGCGGGCGCAAAGACTAAGGGGGCTAGTACCCGAGGCGGTGACGCCACCGAGAGCCAGCCAATGGGCAGCGGGCGGGCAGAGCCCCAGCGGTTCGAACAGAAAGGCAAGGAAAGGGCGGGAGGAAAGAGCCAGCAGTTCGGGAGCGCGCGCCGGCCCCACCTCGGGACTCCGAGGTCCGGTCCCTATTTGCGGACACCCACCAAAGGACCGTTCCCTCCCTGGGGATGAGGTGGCGGGCGGAAGGGTGAAACTTAATCTGTAACTAGTTACGTTGGAAGGGGCGTGGATAGCTAGAGGGCACACCTCCCGATGTGACGGACAGGGAACGGGGCATTAGCAGAGGGGAAGATGATCCAGACCAGGGTCCAGAACTGGTGACAGGTGAAGGGAGAAAAGCCCAAGCCCTCAACCCCCGCTCCCGCCTCCCACACAAACGCTTTGCAGAAGGGACAGATCACAGGTCCCACCTTTACAGATATGAAAGTATCTGCCTCCTTGGGCAAATGCTAATGAAAACCTTTATTTAAAAAAAAAAAAAGTATTCTTTATTTGATAGCCCTGGGACATGGCGCCCTCCACCCAATAAAGCACCCTTCAGTAACCCTCCCACCCCTCACCCAACACATACACCCCCAACACACAAGATCTGGATCCGTCTTCACTTCCTGTTGGCTTGGGCAGTACCAATAACACACTGGTTCACCTGGGTGTAGGGGGTGAGACAGGATAAAAAAGTTTGCAAAATAACCAAAAGAACAGTTTTCTTAAGATCTCCTCCCATCCTCCAATGCTAGGGGCTGCCCTCAGGAATACTGAAATAAGGCCTCCAAAGGCTGGTTCAGGCTGATTTCAGTTATGGTTGGTTCTCCTTTCCACACTAGGTTTGGAGGAGGTGAAAAGGCCTGAGAGATGGAAGCCCCACAACAAAATACAGGAGCGGAGAGAGGAGGCTTTCATTTCCAGCAATACTCTCTACTAGAGACCTCCAACCTCTTCCACTGTAAAATCCTTAAACTGAGATAAAATAGTAATAGCAACGAGCACCCATTTAGGAATTAGCACTCCTTAGAAAAGTGGATCAGTTGAAGTCTGGAGGAGGAAATGTACAAGTTGAATCTGAAAAAAGACTACTAGGGTTGTGTCTAAAGGACACTGGCGCCAACCTGAAGGAGGTTCCTAATGGCCAAATATGGGGCAATTTGAGCATCAGAAAGAATGACTGTGGTCGGGCTCGGTGGCTCACGCCTGTAATCCCAACACCTTTGGAGGCTACAATGAACTTTGATTGAGCCACTGAATTCCAGCCTGGGCAACAGACCAAAACCCTGTCTAAAAAAAAAAAAAAAAGTAACGCTCAGATAGACCTTCATTGGTCACCTTTGGAAGCTGTTAGGGTATCAACTCAATACTGAAAATCAATAAATAATCCAGCATTTATCTTGTTTTTCCTCTATGAACTGAGTTTCACAGAAACCAAGTAGATGGCAAAGCAAATTTCTTCATAAAAGAATAGTGACTAACCAACGCAGAACTGAGAAGACTGAATCATCATTTAAAAAGCCCTTAATGAAATAACGAATCTAGGTATGGTTACTCCTGGATAAAATCACTAGGTGAAAGGTCAATAGGGAGCTTTTAAGTGGATGGATCAGGCTGACAACACCCAAATATGATAAATAAGTCAAAGCATGGGGGAAAGAGGAAGCAACCAGCCACAATCCAGACAAGTGTATTCTACAGGACAAATGACCTTCAACAAACAAATGACATAATAGTGGCAGCATGGGATAGGGCTGTTACAGATTAAAAGGAACTTGAGACATTTGAACCAACTGGGTGGCCCTTGCCTGGACCCTGATTTGAATAAACCTATTATGTATAAAAGACACTTCTGAGACAGTTGGGTGAAATTTAACATAAACTGGTTATTAGAGGATATTAAAGTTCATGTTGGATGTTACACTGGTATAATAACTAATAAAAAGTTAGAACAAACATCAACATCCTCTAAAATTGAACTTACGAGATAGGGAAACCCTCATCAAAGTAGAACAGCAGATCAGGGTACAGGTGCTGGCTACTCCACGGCAACAATCAATGCTGATCATTTTTTTTCCTTCCTCTACTCCCTTCCCCGTACCCGCCCCTCCGTCCCTCCCTCCCTCCCCTCTCTGCTGGGTCTGTGCTGAGGGTGCCGATCCCCTTCGCAGCTGGGATCCCTTCCGCAGCTGGGACGCCTCCAAACTCCAGGCAGGAGTCGGGCTCCCCCGAGCCCCGTCCCTCCCTTCCCCTTCCCTGCCCCCGCAAAACAAAACAAAACAAAACAAAACAAAACAAAACAAAACAAAAAACAACAATCAACGCTGATTGGGAGGAAGCCCAAGCACTGCAGAAGTACAGACCTGATCAGACCTCAAATAAAGCCAGAGCCTATCAAAGCTCAGGAGGAGGGTTAGCCAGAGAAAAAAATTACCCATAGAGGCAGACAATAAGGAAACTTCCTGACTTGCTTAACAATAGTAGAAGGGTCACTGGCTGACCCTCATGGGGTTTGGTGTCTGAATTCGCACTATTTGAAATAGTCTGAAAAAATTCTAAGTCTTTGATCCAGTAATCTCATTTCAATGTCTATTTCCCTAGATGGTTACATGTAACTGAAAAAATACAAAATGATGTACATACAGTTAGTCAACATGGTCTTGTTTGTGACTAATAAAGGGTGGAAACAATCCAAGTGTCCAGTAGAGGGAACTGGTGGATAAATTTTGGTGCAACTACATAGTGGAGTCCTAGGCAGACCTAAAAATAATGATCACTGTGTGGTGATGGGGAGGAATCTTGGGGATTTTTGTGTTCTTTTTTTTTTTTTTGAGACAAGGTTTTGCTCTGTCACCCAGGCTGAAGTGCCGTGGTAGGAACACGGCTCACTGCAGCCTCCACCTCCCAGGCTCAGGTGATCCTCCCATCTCAGCCTCCTGAGTAGCTGGAACTACAGGTGTGAGCCACTACACCCAGCTAATTTTCATACTTTTTGTAGAAACAAGAAAGCCGAGATCGCGCCATTGCCCTCCAGCCTGGGTAACAAGAGCGAAACTCTGTCTCAAAAAAAAAAAAGAAAAAGAAACAAGAGTCTCACTATATTGCCCAGGCTGATCTGAAACTCCTGGGCTCAAGCAATCCTCCTGCCTCAGCCTCACAAAGTGTTGGGATTACAGGCATGAGCTACTGTGCCCAACCAGTTTAGACTTTTAGTCACCTTTTTTTTCAATCCGCTTTCTTAGGTTAGTTAGTCATCTGTTTTTTAAAAACTTAAAAGCTAATAATTAAAAATGGAAGCAGGTGAGTAGTGCCCCAGATGCCTGAGAATCTAAAACCTTTTTGGACAATGTGCTCCCTGGCCCAGAAGACAGATGGGTTCAAATGGAGAAGCCCACAACCACCCACAGGTACTGACAAGGCCTGGGAATGACTGGTGGTAATCGCACCTTGGAGGCAAAGCGCAGAGAGTTGAGGGACTCGGAGACGTTCTCTTCTAGTGGAGAAATGTTCACAAACATGAGCCTATGAAAAAAGAGAATATGCCCAACCCCAGCATTAGGGGCCAGCAGAGCCTGGACAGGTCTCCACTGTTCCCTCTTTCTAGCCCTCACCCCCGTACAGGTCCTACCTGACCCCTTCCATCTGTCCCTTTCACTCACATCTTAGCACTACCACCCAGAGAGTTCTGCAGCAGGTAGGTCAGTTTGCTGTTCCGATAAGGCACGTGGGACTCCTAGATGGTTGAGGTGGGGACAGATGTTCAGGAATGAGCAGGGTTCTAAATAGCCAACCCAACTGGCCCCCAAGTTCCATGTCTCCAATTCCCATTCCCACCTTGTTGCTCAGGGCCATGATAACCAGCCCCAGCGTGGACAGACTGCTGTTAATAGCCTGTGTTTCCCGAAGGCGTTCCCGCTCCCCGGGGCCGAAGGCTAACCCGGGGTCAAGTCGCTCACTCCCAGCCAGGTCCACAAGACTGAGGGGGGCCCCACACTGCAGGCCTCGGCTAGAGTGCTCTCCAGAAATCTGTAGCTGGAATACGCTATGGCTGCGTGATGACCGTTCATTCTGGGCTGTGCGGGCCACAGCCCGATTCTGGCGGGCCAGATGGAGCAGGGCCTCCACCTGGGCATGGGAACAGAAGGGGCAAAAAGGCAGGCAGAAGTCAGTACATAGTAATGTATATGGCAATGAGTAAGAGCCCACCCCCACCCTCTTGAAGCTTTCTAGCCTGTCCAGAAACAAAATAAGATGCATAGTATGTCTAAAAATGGCAAGGAATAAAATCATGGAATATGGAGCATATAAAGGCAGGATGGGGAGCCAAGTTTTGACAGGATAGCCAACGATGGCCTCACTGTCATAAGATCTCCAGGAAAGGAGCATCCAGGCAAAGACCCTGAGATGGGGAGCATGACTAGCTGGCTGACGAACAGCCAGGAATAGCATGGCTAGGATGAACTGAGCAAGCAGACAAGACCCAAGATGCAGTGACCCTCCCTGCTTCAGCAGATGCATCACTCCCTCTCCACTGCCTGGTTAAGGCAGATCTGCCTTCAGCCCACAAGCCAAAACTGGATGTGGTAACCCAGCCTCAACTTGAACTTCATCCTTCAATTCTCTCCTGCTCCTTTCTCCCTCTACCTCTATCTCGTGGCACCCTGCCCACTCCTCCCCATTCCCCGGTTCCTGTGCCCATGGGTCCTCACTTCTTTCTCACAGGAGACAGGGACATATCGAGCATTGGTGACAGTGAGCTCCTCGCTCCCTGGCCTTGCATGGCGAATCTCACAATCGCCCCCTTGACCCTTCCGGGTCCCAGTGGCCAGCAGGTCCCTGACAGTCTCATTGTAGATCTCTACGTAGCTTGCTACAAAGCTGTAGGTCCAGCCCTGGCCACTCAGCTCCTGGGCCACAGAGAAGAGGTGCCGCAGGGCCCGAGGGATCAGCCCCTCCAACTGGGGGTCTCCCCCAGGCCCACCCTCCATTGTGAAGGTCTTGCCACTGCCTGTCTGGCCATAGGCAAAGATGCAAACTGGATAGCCATCCAGGGCTGACTGGACAAGCATGGCAATCTCTTCAAATACTTCATCCTGTCGACTTCCTGGGGGGAAAACCCGGTCAAAGGAAAAATCGTGGCGGGTGGGGGGGACTGGTGCCCCACTCAGGGTCCCACGCCGCTCATCAGACCGGGAAAGGCTAAGGCGGGTTGGAGGATCAGAGGGCCCACTAGGGCCAGAGGGGAACAGGAGGAGCCCAGGGGGTGGAGTGGGCTCCCCGGGAAGGACAGGGCGGACCCGGCAGAATACACGGATGTTGCCCTTGAGTTCCTGCAGCTGGTTGTGCAGTCGCCGACGCTCCATTTCTAGCCCATGAAGACGTTCTTCCCGTTCAGTCAGTAAGGCTGCCTGGGCCGCAGTCTCCTGCCGCAGAGATGCCACCTCTGCTTGGCTGCTTGACAGAGCTGCTTCTGATGTCCGCAGCCTCCTCTGCCCAGAACAGAACACAACATACACAGAGGGTGAGATGCAACCAAGAATAAGAACAAACTGTGTGGTTAAGATGGGGTGTATCGATGGGTGGAGGTGAGATGCCTGCTTACAAGGACCTCAGAAGTCTGGTAAAGAAAGAAAAATGAGAAAATAAGGAATCATGGTACTAAAATAGGGAGTGCTATGGGTATGCCCAAGCCCAAAGAGAAGCACAAGGAAGGTGACATCTAGGCTGATACCCAGAAGTACAGGAGTGAACCAAGGAAGGATGCAGTATACAAAGAACATTCCAGAAAGAGGGAAGCACATAAGCAGAATGCCCAGAATGAAAGTTAAGTCATTTAAGAGACTGTAAATATTTTAATCTAGTTGGTACTCACCAGGAAGAAGTCAAACTGGACATGAGACGGGAGAGTACCACAGGAATTTGTAATCAGAATGGGGACCCAAAGAAAGAGGGATGGAGGATTAAGGAAAACACAGATCATGGCTAGGCACGGTGGCTCATGCCTGTAATCCCAGCACTTTGGGAGGCCGAGGTGGGTGGATTGCCTGAGGTCAGGAGTTCGAGACCGGCCTGGCCAACATGGTGAAACCCCGTCTTTTTAAAAAAAGGAAAACACAGATCTAAGTGGAAGCTTTACAAACAGTCAAGGGTAGGAAGAAGCGTAGCAGAAAGGAAGACAGTTAGGAGTGGGCTGGGGTGGAGACAGGTGGAAGAGAGTTATCTTCAGCAGCACCTATACTGCTAAATATAGGTGCTTAGGAGTTCTGAGCCCAAACAGACTTGAGGGGCACCTGGAAGGGAAGGAAGGCATGGCCCCTGCCAGGAAAAAGGGGCCAGCATTTGGTGAAAATCTGGCCCTTACCTCCTTCTCCTCTAGTTGGGATGTCAGTCCCCTCCGTTCCTCCTGCAGTTCCACCTGTTTTTTCTGAAGCTCTTGCACCAAGCCCTCCTGCGTGCTTAACCGCTCTTCCAGTTCCACGATATGAGCACGCAGCTTCTTCAGCTCCTGTTGGCCCTGCTCAGCGTGGGCCTGCACTGTGGCTAACTGCCCCTCCAGTGTCCTGCGCTCTGTCCCCAGGGCCTTGGTCTGCTCTTGGGCATCTCTGAGCTGGTCCTGAAGTTGCTGGTTCTCTTGGTCCAATGTTTGAGTCCTCTCACGGCAGCGTTTTAGTTCTGCATTTACGTCACATAACTGACCCTTTAAGTCCCAGGCTGGACGTTTGCTGGGTTTCTTGCCTCCCACCATGGGAGGAACAGCTGATGATAAGATGAGCACAGAAAGGACAAAGGTCAGGAAGTCTAGGCTCTCTATTCCTCCTCCCTTCTAGCCTTTATGGGATCCACACCTGATGCTGCATCTCCTTCCCCTAAGAGACCAAATGGATTTTTCTGGGCACTTACCACCTTCTCTTCCCTATCCCAAGCTTCTCACCCAATGGTTATGTTTGTCACCTACTGCCAGGCTTCTGGACAGGAACAGCAGGAACTGGCTTCTGGTTCTTCAACACTAGAGAATTGAGAAGGTGACTTAGGAATTACAGGACCAGTGTCCCTCTGCCTCCATCATTCTCCCTTTAGACATATCCCAAATCCCTTCTCAGACCCAGCTCTCGAGCACAATTACCTGTGGCAACAGTTGTGGAACACCGGGGTCCTGTCTTCTTGGAAACTTTTTGAGCTGCCCAGGAGATGGGAGAGAGCAAAGGTAGAATGATCATTTTCAAGGTGGCTTGTAAACGGCTAAGATGGGGGCAGGAGAAGTGCTTTTCTCAAAATTAGAAATAAGATAACTTCCTTCCCTTATCCCTTAAGTCTGGCTGGCTCCTAGTATCTCCTGTAGGACCAGAAGTTAAAATCATCCCCTTAGTATCCCTCTAAGGATGCCAAAATCCAAGGATGCCCAATTCCCTTATATAACATGGTATATGGTAATATATATAGTTTATGTACACCTTCCCATATACTTCATTATTGATTGATTGAGACAGAGTTTCACTTGTTGCCCAGGTTGGAGTGCAATGGTGTGATCTCGGTTCACTGCAACCTCTGCCTCCAGGGTTCAAGCGACTCTTCTGCCTCAGCCTCCTGAGTAGCTGGGATTACAGGCATGTGCCACCATGCCCGGCTAATTTTTGCTTCTATTTTTAGTAGAGAGGTTTTCAGCATGTTGGCCAGGCTGATCTCGAACTCCTGACCTCAGGTGATCCCCCTACCTGGGCTCCCAAAGTGCTGGAATTACAGGTATGAGCCACTGCACCCAGCCACATATACTTTAAATCATCTTTAGATTACTTGTAATATCTAATGCAATGTAAATGCTATGTTAATACATTCATGTGCCCAAAATGACATTTTGGTCTATGACAGACTGCATATACAACAGCAGTCCTGTAACATTATAATGAGCTAAAAATCCCTATTGCCTAGTGACATTATAGCCATGTAATGTCATAGCATTCCTCACCTATTTGTGGTGATTCTGGTATAAACAAACCTAACGCACTGCCAGTTATATAAAAGTATAGCACGGGCTGGGCACAGTGGTGCACACTTATAATCCCAGCATTTTGGGAGCCCGAGGTAGGCAGATCACGAGGTCAGGAGTTAGAGACCAGCCTGTCCAATATGATGAAACCCCATTTCTACTAAAAAAATACAAAATATAGCCGGGTGTGGTGGCACACGCCTGTTGTCCCACCTACTTGGGAGGCTGAAGCAGAAGAATCGCTTGAATCTGGGAGGTGGAGGTTGCAGTGAGCCGAGACTGTGCCACTGCATTCCAGCCTGGGTGACAGAGACTCTGTCTCAAAAAAAAAAAAAAAAAAAATATATATATATATATACACACACACACACACACACACAAAATCATATATAGTACATAATACTTGATAATAATAAATGACTATGTTACTAGTTTATATATTTACTTTATTGTACTTTTTTATTTTTGAGACAGAGTCCCATTGTGTCTCCCAGGCTGGACTGCAATAGTCCAGCTCTTGGCTCACTGCAATATCTGAGTTCTTGGCTCACTGCAATCTCTGATTCCCGGGTTCAAGCGATTCTCCTGCCTCAGCTTCCTAAGTAGGTGGCACTATAGGCGCCCACCACCATGCCCGGCCAATTTTTGTATTTTTAGTAGAGACAGGGTTTCATTATGTTGGCCAGGCTGGTCTTAAACTCCTGACCTCGTGATCCGCCTGCCTCACGCTCCCAAAGTGCTGGGATTATAGGCGTGAGCTACCCTGCCCAGCTGATTTGTACTTTTTATTGTTATTTTAGAGTATACTCCTTCTATTTACAAAAGCAGTTAACTATAAAACAGCCTCAGGCACGTCATTCAAAAGGCATTCCAGAAGAAGGCATTGTTATCACAGGAGGCCATAGCTCCATGTGTGTTACTACCCCGGAAGATCTTCCAGTGAGACAAGATGTGGACTTGAAAGCAATGATGTTGATGATCCTGAACCTTTAGAGGCCTAGGCTAACATGTGTATTTCTTTGTTTTTAACAAAAAATTTAAAAAGCAAAATAATATAAAGAAATTTTCAAATTCAAGCTTATTTCTTGGAAAAAGTACAAATAAATACAATTTTAAATTTAAAAAAAATTTTTTTTGTTTTCAACCCAGGAGACACAGATTCATATTGCCCTGAATATATGCTCCTCACCGCAAAAAAAATTTTTTTAATAGAAAAAAATGAGGATATAAAGAAATAAAATATTTTTGTACAGCTATACAATGTGTTTTAAGCTGTTATTACAAAAGTCAAAAAGTTAAAAAAGATTAAAATGTTATATCAGACTTGGCAAGCAGGAAAAACAATGTAAGTTTATAAAATTAAAAAGTTATAGTAAACTAAGGTTAATTTATTATAAAAGAAATATTTGTATAAATTTGGTGTAGCCTAAGTGTACCATGTTGATAAAGTCTACAGCAGTGTGCAGTGATGTCCTAGGCCTTCACATTTAACTCACCACTCACTTGCCGACTCACCCAGGGCAACTTCCATCCTGGCATGCTCCATTTAATGGTTAGTACCCTGTATAGGTGTGTCATTTTTTATCATTTATATTGTATTTTAACTGTAGCTTTTCTGTTTATATACACAAATGGTTACCACTGTTACAGTTATCTACTGTACACCGACATGCCGCACAGGCTTATAGCCCAGGAGCAATAGGCTATACCAGATAGCCTAGGTGTACAGCAGGCTAGATCATCTAGGTTTCAGTAAGTAAACTCTATAATGTTTGCACAATGATGCATTTCTGATCATGTATCCCCACTGCTAAGTGACACATGACTGTAATTGTTATACTTTATTTTTTATTTTCATTGAATATTTTCTCTTTACTTTTTTTTTTTTTTTTTTTTGAGACAGAGTCACACTCTGCCACCAGGCTGGCACAATCTTGGCTCACTGCAACCTCCACTTCCCAGATTCTAAGCAATTCTCCTGTCTCAGCCTCCCGAGTAGCTGGGATTACAGGCATGGGCCACCACACCTGACTAATTTTGTATTTTTGGTAGAGACAGGGTTTCACCATGTTGGCCAGGCTAGTCTGGAATTCCGGACCTCAGACAATTCACCCACCTCGGCCTCCCAAAGTGCTGAGATTACAGGCATGAGCTACTGCACCCACTCTCCTTGAGTATTTTCAACCCATGGTTGGTTGAATCTGCAGAATCAGAACCCACAGATACAGAGGGCCAACTGTACTCCATATGCCAAAGGGCAAGTTGGACCAGGACAGGTAAAAGCAGACCATGTCTAAAGTATGCCACCACTTGTGTCAAAAAGGTGGGGGAGTATATCCTTATTTGCTTGAATACCAATAGAATTTCCCTGGAAGAACATATAGTTGCCCTGGGTAGCAGAATTGGGTGGCCGGAGGACAGAAATAGGAAGCAAACTTAACTATACAATAAACTTAGTGCCTTTGGAATTTTGAACCAAGTGAAATGTTATTACCTACTCAAAATACGCTGGGCATGGTGGCTCACACCTGTAATCCCAGCATTTTGGGAGGCTGAGGCGGGCAGATCACCTGAGGTCAGGAGTTCGAGACCAGCCTGGCCAACATGGTGAAACCCCATCTCTACTAAAAATACAAAAATTAGCCGGGCGTGGTGGCGGGCGCCTGTAATCCCAGCTATCAAGAGGCTGAGGTAGGAGAATCCCTTGAACCTGGGAGACAGAGGTTGCAGTAAGCCGAGATTATGCCACTGCACTTCTGCCTGGGTGACAGAGCGAGACTGTATCTCAAAAAAAAAAAACCCAGAAAAAATACAAACGACTAAAATTGAAAGAAAAAAAAATAAGTGAATTGAAGAGCACTAGACTTCCATGCCCTTGGAGTCTATCCATCCCGAAAGCCCACCTGTGGTCTGGCCTTGTGTCTGTGGCACTGCAGTGAGTGGTGGTACTCTTGGGCGGGATGTGGCAATTTTGGTCGTTGCACCCAGGACTCGTGTCCGTTTCTGGGGAAAGATAAAGACAAGGTCTATAATCACCCTTGCTAATGGTTTATACTCTCTCTCTTCTTTCTGACACACACACACACACACACACACACACACGCACAGGCACAGCTCTCCACGCCCAGCTCACCTTCTCAGGCTCCAGGCCATCTTCCATCTGGTCAGGCCTTCTCTTGAGTCGGCTTCCTGAGAGGGGCAGCCGGGAAGGGGCCTTAATCAGGGGTCTCTTCAGTTCTATGTTCCCCTTTAGTTCCAACAGGGGAGACCTCTGTTGTGAAAAGAGACACTTAAGACAATACCCAGGAGCCCAAATGTCCCAAGAACTTCCCGTCTTGGCCCCCGAGCTTCAATTATCAATATTACCAACATCAAGCAGTAAGTACCACTTGTGCCAAAAGCTGAAGTATGTGCCAGACAGACAGCATGAACAGAAGTAGGGACATAACCTAGAAGTGGGAACAACCTCTAGGGGAAAAGCTGGACTTGACTAACTTTAAAGGTAGGGCTCAAACAAGCAGAGAGGAATGGACACTTTTTTTAGAAGGCGAAAACTCAAATGTACATAGTATGGCTAGGAAACCAATTGGCCCTTTTGGCTGAAGCTGAGAATTACAAATAAGGGAAGAGAGTGGAAGATATGTGAGGGCTGAAGACTGCTTGGGAGAAGCAGAAAACATTTATTGAGCACTGTTTGAAATGTTTTACCTGGGCTGGGTACAGTAGCTCACACCTGTAATCCCAGCACTCTGAGAGGCCGAGGAAGGCGGATCACAAGGTCAGGAGTTCGAGACCAGCCTGGCCAACATGGTAAAACCGCGTTTCTACTAAAAATACAAAAATTAGCCGAGCATGGTGGTGCACACATGTAATCCCAGCTACTCGGGAGGCTGAGGCAGAAGAATTGCTTTAGCCTGGGAGGTGGAGGTTGTGGTGGGCCAAGATCACACGACTGCACTCCAGCCTGGGCAATAGAGGGAGACTGTCTCAAAAAAACAAATAAACAAAAACAACAATGACAACAATAAAACATTAGAACTTAATTCGGGCCAAGCACAGTGGCTTATACCTGTAATCCCAGCAGTTTGGGAGGCTGAGGTGAGCGGATTACTTGAGGTCAGGAGTTTGAGACCAGCCTGACCAACATGGTGAAACCAAGTCTCTACAAAAATTCCCCGGGCATGGTGGTATGTGCCTGTAATCCAGCTGCTTGGGAGGCTGAGGAGAATCACTTGAACAATTGGCAGAGGTTGTTGTGAGCTGAGATCACACCATTGCACTCTAGCGGGTGACAGAGCCAGACTGTGACTCAAAACAAACAAACAAAAACAAAAATAGAACTTAATTCTTGTGGTGCCCACAGTCTTATATAGGGGTTACGACAATAAATTAAAAACAAAAGAAAACAGTGTATCAGGTTGTTACATAATTTTAAAAATTAATGATGCTCTATGAACTTCCTTGACTACATCTCACTGTATCACAGTTTGCTCAAACTCACTTTCCCAAAATTGAGCTTAGCAATCTGTTTTGGGGCCGGATGCTCATGCCTATAATCCCAGCACTTTGGGAGGCCAAAGCAGGCAGATCACGAGGTCAGGAGTTCAAGACCAGCCTGACCAATATGGTGAAACTGTCTCTACTAAAAATATAAAAATTAGCCGGGCATGGTGGTGCATGCCTGTAATCCCAGCTACTCAGGAGGCTGAGGCAGGAGAATCGCTTGAACCCAGGAGGTGGGGGTTGCAGAGAGCCAAGACTGTGTCACTGCACTCTAGCCTGGGTGACAGAGCGAGACTCCATTTCAAAAAAAAAAAAAAAAAAGAATTCATCTGTTTTGTTCATAACTATATAACCAGAGGGCCTAATACAATGCCTGTTTCATTACAGTTTTTGAAGGAATGAAATTAAATGTCCATCTGTAGGGCAATACTTAAACTGTGATATACCCATACCATTGGCTTCTGTACAAATAAAAAGCGAATTTTTCCTGCCACGTATAGAAATGTGCACAAAGAATGCTTATTTTAATTTAGCGTAATCAAATATAGTATGGAAACCAAATCTTTCTGTAAATATTACAAAGTCAAACACTACTTTTTAAAAATAACCTGTGCCCTTCCTCCTCTCTACACTACCATAGTGGATCTGCTACAGACCTACCTCCATGGAATTTATGTCAGTTCAGAAAATGTGTTTAAAGGTTTGTTTATTTAGGACAACTCCAAAGACCATAGTATATATATATTTTCCCATCTATTCATATAAAGCTAGACATGCTGCCCTCCAACTTTCACAATGAGAAACATAAGCACTTAACCTTCTATAAGAACAGATATTCAGCCAGTTCCGGTTGCTCACGCCTATAATCCCAACACCCTGGGATGCCAAGGTGGGCAGGTCATGATGTCAGGAGTTCAAGACCAGCCTGGACAACATGGTGAAACCCCAACCCTACCAAAAATACAAAAATTAGCCAGGCATGGTGGCGTGCACCTGTAATCCCAGCTACTCAGGAGGCTGAGGCAAGAGAATCACTTGAACCCGGGAGGCAGAGGTTGCAGTGAGCTGAGATCACGCCATTGCACTCCAGCCTGGGAGACAGAGCAAGACTCCATCTCAAAAAGAAAAAAAATAATAACAGATATTCATGCAAACCTTCCTACATCCACCTCACCACAAGATCAGAGATGGATGTCCCTGCTCCTAAGGCAACCGTTTCACACATGCATCACATCCTAGCCCTTCTCACCTAATCCTCCCAATTGCAGGAACGTCCCCCCAGCAATCCTCCCTTCTCTCCTCTTTGTACTCTACCGCATCACTCCCATTGGCATACAAGAAAGTCTATTATATCTTCGAACCTAAAAGAATCTGAACTCTGCTTTTCCTAACAGGTACTATCCTTTTTCCTTGCTGCCCATAGCAGCAAAACTCTAAAGTATTATCTATATTGTATTCCCTGTGGCCAATTTCTCTCCTAAACCCATTGCAATCAGGGCTTCATTCCCACCATTCCATCGAAATTGCTATCCTCAGGATCACCAGTAACTCCATGTTGCTAAGTCAATTCTTCATCTTCATGTTTCTTGACCCATCAAACAACATTTGATACAAATGATTACTCCCTCTTCCTTAAAAGGCTTTCTTCATTTAGCTTCCAGTAGTCCACCCTTTCTTACTTCACTAATAGGTCCTCCTTATCTCTCCAGACTTTAACAGCGTTCTGTCTATACTTGCTATCCACTACCATGGCTTTAAATGCCAATGCTATGCTGACAGTTTCCAAATTATATGTCCAGCTCAGACCTCGATCCTGCACCTATACTGAACTGCATCCTCAACATCTCTATTTAAGGCTGGGCATGGTGGTCATGCCTGTAATCCTAGCACTTTGGGAGGCCGAGATGGGCAGATCATTTGAGGTCAGGAATTCAAGACCAGCCTGGCCAACATGGCAAAATCTCATCTCTACTAAAAATACAAAAAATAGCTGGGCGTGGTGGCTCATGCCTATAATCCCAGCTAGTTGGGAGACTGAGGCGGGAAAATCACCTGAACCTGGGAGGGAGAACTGCAGTGAGCCGAGATGGCACCACTGCACTCCAGGCTGGGCAACAGAGCGAGAGACTTCATTTCAAAAAACCATCTCCATTGGGAAGTCTAATAACTGACCTCTGATGCCCAGTCCTGCTTTGAACTTGCTCCTCTTGCAGATTTCTCTATCTCAATTGATATAACTCCATCTTTCAGTTGTCCAAGCCAAAAACCAAAGTCTTCTTTTTCTCCTACATACGTCTAATCTGTCGGCAAAGCATGGCTGATTGTACCTTCAAAATATATCCAGAATGCAACCACTTTTTACTATTTCTTCCACTGCTACCACCCTGACCTATGAAACCATCCTCTGGCACCTAGATTATCATAAACCAATGGTTCTCATCTGGGGGTGATTTTATTCCCCAGGTGACATTCAACAATGACTAAAGACTTTTTTTTCTTTTTTTTTTGGAGACAGGGTCTCACTTTGTCACCCAGGCTGGAATTCAGTCCTATACATTGTCAGATGCCTAGAAGCATCCCTGCCCTATACCCACTAGATGCCAGTAGCAAACCCCACCTACCTGGTCATCACAATAAAAAATGTTGGCCGGGCATGGTGGCTCACGCCTATAATCCCAGTACTTTGGAAGGCCGAGGCGGGTGGATCATGAGGTCAGGAGTTCGAGACCATCCTGGCTAACATAGTGAAACCCCGTCTCCACTAAAAGTACAAAAAATTAGCCAGGCACGGTGGCGCATGCCTGTGGTCCCAGCTACTTGGGAAGCTGAGGCAAGAGAATCTCTAGAATTCAAAACACAGAGGTTGCAGTGAGCAAAACTGCACCACTGCACTCCAGCATGGATGACAGAGCAAGACTCCATCTCAAAAAAGAAAAAAAAATTAGCCAACATGGTGGCACACACCCACAGTCCCAGTTACTCAGGAAGCTGAGGTAGGAGAATCACTTGAACCCAGGAGGAGGTGGAGCTTGCAATGAGCCGAGTTTGTGCCACTGCATTCCAGCCTGGGTGACAGAGCAAGATTCTGAGTCAAACAAATAAAAATTGTTGCAGGGCACAGTGGCTCATGCCTGTCATCCCAGCACTTGGGAGACCAAGGCAGGCAAATTGCTTGAGCCCAGGAGTTCCAAACCAGCCTGGGCAACGTGGCAAAACTCTGTCTCTACAAAAAATTAGCCAGGCATAGTGGCAGGTGCCTGTAGTCCCAGCTATTTGGGAGGCTGAGGTGGGAGGATCACTTGAGCCCAGCAAGTTAAGACTGCAGCGAGCCATGGCCATGCCACTACGCTCCAGCCTAGGCAACAGAGCAAGAGAGCCTGTCTCAAAAAAAAAAAAAAAGGAAGAGTGCTATGACTGCAAAAATCTGTTGGACCTGACAAATCTTATCTCTATTTGCTTAAAATCATCCAATGATTCCCCATCTCAAACAGAGTAAAAGTACTCACAATGACCCCCCCACAAGGACAAACTGTGATCATCAACCCCACTACCTGTCTTCCTTTCCCACAACTTTTCCCCTTGCTCACTTCATTCCAGCCACACTTCCCTACTTACAATACAACTCTTTAGGTACTCTTTGCTCTAGCAGATTCCCTCTGATGAAATGTTCTTCCCTCACCATCTACTTGTCTATCTCCCTCACTTTAAGTCTTTATTCAACTCATCTTTTCAATGGGGCTTACTGAGAGCACCCTATTTAATACTCTATCCCAGTCAGTTGGCCTCTCTCCCTCCCTTAACTTTGAATTTCTCCTTTTCTCCAGAGCACTTATTGCCTTCTAGCAGTTATATAATTCATTCATTTATTGTCTGTATCCCCATAGTATGATAGCTCCATGATGGTAGCAACTTGTCCCTTGTTCACTGCTGCATCCTAAGTACCTACAATAGCCTGGCATGTAGTAGGTGCTCAGTAAATACTTGAGGAATAGATTTGTGAAGGCTTTTATTACTTCTCACTGTCACATCATACTACTCTGCTCTCTGCCAGAAAGAGTATCTCTTAAGGTTGAATCCTAACTTTAGGGAAACCTGAACCGTGAAATACAAATAAACAAAAGATCCAGGCAGGAGATCTTTCCTGGCACCAGGGGTCAGCACACTCCAGCTGTCACACACATTCATCTCCCTTCACTAGAGAGAGGAAGCTGCATATGGTTGTGGGGTGCAGCAGGGCACCATTTAAGAGAAAAAAACGGAATCAATCAGTTTCATTGGGCAGGAATCCGCAAAATTTGGGAAAGGAGAGGGAGAATGAGGAGTCTTTTGGCCCAGATTACCCTACTCTCCTCCCTTTCCTACACTCCGAAGCAGCAGTGATGAGGAGAGGCGATAACACAAAAAGACATCAGCACGGATGTGCCCTCAGACGCCATGTCCCCAAAGAAAGATGTCCTATCAGAACTCTTCCTTCTTACACACTGCAATCACACCCTGAGTAGGAATATAAAGAGGTGGAAATGTGTCAGCCTGATAATTCGAAATGGGAAATTTTGGAGACATTAAAGGAAGGGGCTCCCGAGACTTGAAGCTGGGGGAGGACAGACAGACGTCCCTTCCAACCTCCCCGGGTGCTCTCTGAAGTCTCCTGCCTCCGCCCCGTTCCACTTGTGCAGGGACGCACGGACCTTCGCTTTCATGGCAGGCAGGACAAAGGCCGGCCGGGAACCGGGGGCGCAACAGCATCGGAGCGGCGAGCCGTCGTCCCCATCCCCAGGGCGGGACACCTGAGCCTGCCCCTACTTACCTGAGGATCCATGTCCACCTCCGTCCCACACGCGCCGGGGGAACGCAATGGAAAAAGGCTGGGTACTGGGGATCCTGGGACTCGCGTTCTCTCGCCCGCTCGCGAATCAAGGAAAAGAACTCGCGCGGCTCCGCCGGCTACTAGCCCCGCGCCACACCCGCCACTTTTGAATTCCAACGGCCACCACCCACTCTCACCGCGCTCTGCACGCAGGGACCAATCGTCGCTGTCACCAAGGCCGAGGGCCAATCGCAGCGCCCTCCGCCTCCCGAGGTCACACCCCGCCCGAAAGATGCCTTCGGGTTTCTGTTTCGCAGGCGCCGTAGAGATAGGCGGATTAATTTCACTTCCGGTTCCACTTAAGCCTCTCACCCCTCCCCTGCTTTAGCGACAACAGTGCTGGACTTCCGCTCGCAAAATGCGTGGACGTCGCGGCTCGAACGCAGCGGGCCGAACGTAATTGGTGGCAGCCAGAGGAGGAGGGGCGGAGATGCTGGAGGAAAGAAATGACGCCTGCGCAAACAAGGACCCGTGCCGGTAGAGAGGCGGGACGAGCGCCACCTGGTGACTCCAGTAGGGAGCGCACTCGTTTTGCTCGACTGCGTCGACGTGATTGCGGCTCCAGCGCGGCTTCTCCTGGTCCGGGTTGATTCTGACCGGAAGTGGCTCCTGGCGCCCTCACGTGGTCATGAGTGGCCTGGTCTGTTCATTCCTGGTAACGTTGCCATTTCTCATTAAATTTAGAAACTTTGAGTCCAATTTAGGCTGACAGTGGGGATTCAAAACTCAGGAAAGGATTTTTCTTTACAGTCCTCTTCTCTCGCTCGACTTACTTACCTGGGTGCTATCACTGGTGCTGGGTTTAGGACGTTTGGAATCTCAAGCCCAGGGAAGGTTTACTGTTTACATTTTTGAGTATTTTATGTTTTTCAGATTATGCTTGTTAGGTCCCCCAAAGATGGCAGCACTGTTGTCAAGCCATTATGAACTCTGTAACCCGCACATACGCCTCCAGATGGCTACCTGGAGCCCGAAAGTCTGAAACAATAAGACAACAAAGAAGGACAACAGGTTCCTGTTCCAGCCGACCAATCAACCTACTGAGTCAACAGCAACCATCCCTGAGCTGTAACTTTCCACTCCCTGCCCTGGCCTATAAAGCCTGTTCTATCCCCACCTCCACGCTGACTCCTTTTTCAGACTCAGCCCGCTCACACTCAGGTGAATAAACAGACTTGTTGCTCACACAAAGTCTGTTTGGGTTGCTTCTTCAATGGGGTGCACGCTTAACAATACACATGTGTTATCTCATTGCAAAAATTCACTGAACTCTTACATTGTGCCACATTCTTGCATAGATGGATGGAGACAGGTTCAGAAAGGTTAAATAATAATTACAAGGTCACACTGCTGGTTGGAATGGATCTAGATTCCATTAGCTTCAAAATCCAAGCTATTTCTGTTAACTCACATTGCCTCTAACAATCTCAGTGACAAGAACTGTAGGGCTGAGGACCCCACAGGGTCGTGGGGTGTCCCTTATGCTGTGCTGAGGAGCAGGATCTGAAAAATAGACAGGACACGGAAGTACAAGGAAAATGCAGCTGGGCTCGCGGGGCCACGCCACCTATGAGTGGAGTCAGGTGAGGCCCCGAGTGTCCAGAAGCTGAGTATTCATTGTGTATAGGTTAGGGGGCAGGGCAGTGAGTGAAGTCATCTTTAAGGATAGTGATAGGGTTGTGAGCAGTAAAACAAGGAGTCTACCCCCATTAGGTCATCGAGGCATGGAGGTGGGCCATGCGCAGTGAAGACAGTGCAGTGTGCAATACCTCTATCTATGGGCAGCTACTTCTAAAGATTTATGGGGGGATGCTTTAAGTGACACAGTAGTGACGGAGCTGTCAGGTTCTACCGCCACCCACTGGCAGCTTCCAATGAGTTCTATAGGAAGATGCTTTTCGAGGAGCACAGTAACAAGAGCTGATAAAGTTCAGTCACCAAGGTGCGATTGCCAGTCTGAGGGCAGCCTTCCACAAGAACTGATGGAAGGAGTTCTTTATCAGGAGGAGTGGCTTTCGCCCCAAGCCTGTCATACAGCGGGTATCTTTACAATACTAAACGCTGCCGCCTGAGCCATGGATTCTTGTCCTGGTATAACTGTTTTTCCCTTGAATCATGCTCTTCCCTGTGTCTACTCTAGGCATTCCTCTGATTATAAGCTGCTTATTCCCTAATTCATGCTCTGTACTATGTCTACTTAGGCACTCCTCCAATTATGAACTAAGATATTATATATATGTAGGGAAATATTCTTTAAGCACTCATACTATGAACTAATATATGATTATATATAGAGGATTATATAAAGGGAAATAACTTAGTAGTAACACTATAAACTGAGATATTCTTCAGGCCTTAATTGTGCCAGGGTTCTGCTTGGCTCTTTCCTTGGTGCCTATAAGGGGGGTTACCCACAAAGAGCAGCAACCCCTTACGTGTGAAAAAGGTGCTAGTTTGCAAAGTTCTACCACTCATCTGCATTGCCATCCAATCCTGGAGGTAGTCGGGACAGGGTTTTATTTATGAAACTGAAAAGCAGAGGCCTAAAGTGTCTGTTCAGGGGTTTGGTGTCTGGTTGGAAATTGGCAGTTCTGGCACCCACACTATCGTCTTCTAGCCATTGCTTTAACTTGGCTTCAAACAAGCTTGTAGAGAGGAGCAGATTGTGAGGAAACACTGTCTGAAAACCATTCTGCCACCCCCCAACCTTTGATATCCTGGGAAAACTCCAAAAAGCAGGTGCTTGAAGAGAACATAGTAAAAAGAAAAGTAAAGGAAGAAACTGGGGAAAACCAACAATGGAAGGTAAAAGGGGAGCACTGAGAAGAGACGCCTGAGAAGAAACACATAGCAAAAGATATTTATCGAATTTTTTTAAATGTTACACTAAGCAAAATATAGACCCATTAGCAGATTAAGAGGGGAAATTGATTCATCTTAATTGATGCAGTAAATCTACTCAAAATATTCAACACCCATTGATTTGTTTTTTAAACTCCATAAGCTGATAAAGGACATCTTCAAAAATTTCACACAGCACATCACCATAATGGTAAAATGTTGAAAGCCTTCCTTTCAAGATGGGGAACAAGGCAAGGATAACTGCTCTCAATAATCCTCATCAATACAATAATGGAAGTCGTAGCCAGTCCAATAAGCAACAAATATGTAAGGATTACAAAGAAATAATAATGTTAATATTTGCAGATGAAATTATTGCATGTGTAGCAATGCTAAGACAAAATTCAGATAGAATTGATAAATGAGTTTAGCAAGACTGATGGGTAAAAATATCAATAGAGGAAAAAATCAATTTACAAGACCAATTGCATTTCCATCTTCAGCAATACCAATTAGAAAGTGTAACTTTAAAAACTGTACCATTTAGTCACCTGAATATTTGCGTGTGTAAAAATTAAGCTCAGGTGGGTGCAGTGGCTCACGCCTATAATCCCAGCACTTTAGGAGGCTGAGGCGGGTGGATCCCCTGAGGTCAGGAGTTGGAGACCAGCCTGGCCAACATGGCAAAACCCGGACTCTACTATAAATACAAAAAATTAGCCAGGCATGGGGGCGGGCACCTGTAATCCCAGCTACTTGGGAGGCTGAGGCAGGAGAATTGAGCCTGGGAGGCGGAGGTTGCAGTGAGCCAAGATCCTGCCAGTACTCCAGTCTTGGCAACGAGAGAAACTCCCTCTGAAAAAAACACACCAAAAAAAAAACCAAAAAAAAAAAACACCTCTTCCCTCCATCTTGGCTCCTGTGAAGGCCAACTTCTAAAAGGAACTATGTCTGCAACTATGTCTGTGATCCAAGGCCATTTTCCAGGTGTAAGTGGGGTCTCTGGAACCAAAGGGAGAACACAGCTCTTCTTAAAATTAAAGGTGTTTATGCTGGAGATGAAGCAGAATTCTATTTGGGCAAGAGATGCGGTTATGTATACAAAGCAAAGAACAGCACAGTGACTCCCAGCGGCAAACCGAGCAAAACCAGAGTCATCTGAGCAAAGAGAGCTCGGGCCCACGGACACAGTGGCATGGTTGTGCCAAATTCCGAAGCAATCTTCCTGCTAAGGCTATTGGACGAATCCGAGTGACACGCTACCCCTCAAGGATTTAAACTAATGAAAATAAATGTGGATTTGTGCTCTTAAAAAATTTTTAGCTTCATTTGTGTACTTTATCTTATATCTCAATAAAAATGTTAATGAAAATATACATTTGCAATAGCAACAAAAACATAAACTACTTAGGAATAAATTTAACATACTGTGGGAGACACTTAAAGAAAAAATGAATTTAACAGTAGATGTACATGCTCCACCACACCTGGCTACTGAAAGATTTTAAAGAAAATCTAGGCCACGTTTGGCGGCTCATGCCTGTAATCCCAGCACTTCGGGAGGCCAAGGTGGGCAGATCACGAGGTCAAGAGATCGAGACCATTCTGACCAACATGGTGAAACCCTGTCTCTACTAAAAATACAAAAGTTTGCTGGGCCTGGTGGTGTCCCTGTAGTCCCAGCTACTTGGGAGGCTGAGACAGAAGAATTGCTTAAATTCAGGAGGTGGAGGTTGCAGTGAGCTAAGATCAAGCCACTGCACTCTGCACTCCAGCCGGGCCACAGACCAAGACTCCATCTTAAAATAAAAAATTAAAAAAATTTTTTAAAAGGCTGGGCACAGTGGCTCATGCCTGTAATCCCAGCACTTTGGGAGGTCGAGGCAGGCAGATCACAAGGTCAGGATTTTGAAACTAGTCTGGCCAATATGGTGAAACCCTGTCTCTTTTTTGTATACTAAAAATACAAAAAGTAGCAGGGCGTGGTGGCAGACGCCTGTAGTCCCAGCTTCTCAGGAGGCTGAGGCAGGAGAATCGCTTGAACCCAGGAGGCAGAGGTGGTAGTGAGCCAAGATCACGCCACTGGGCGACAGAGCGAGACTCCATCTCAAAATATATATATATATATATGGAAATATATACAATATACTTGGAGAGAAAGTCTTGATGTTATAAAGGTGTCAGTTCTCTCCAAGGCCTTGGTGTTGGACTAAGGGAGGGAGTTGTTAGAGTCCCCAATGCCTGATCCTGCCAAAGTCTCTCCCATTTACCCATCTCAGGAGATGGTTAAGCGGGACCACCTTTGACAG